TCAAATACATCTTAAATAAAGAATAATAATAATAATTAGCTGATATCTCTTCACTAGTTAATTAAAATTTTGATTGATAGAACTATAGAAAATTTTTATATAATATTTAATTATATTACTTTACAGCAACTGAGTTATATTATAAAAAAATTTATAAATTTAATAAAGCTAAGATTTATACATTGACTTTAAGAGAAAGAAAATAAAAAATTAAGTATATAGTTGAGTAAAAATCTTATTTAAATTATATAATATAATTTTCAAATAAGTAAATCATTTAAATGAGTAAATTATTAATTTAAAAATATTTTCTTGTTTAACTACTTATTCATCTCAATGTGCAATTATATTATCAATTTATAATAAAAACAATTCAAATTCTTTTGAGAAAAGAAAAAAGTTTGAAGTTATAATAAATACTTTAAAAAAGTAAAAATATTTTTAATTTATAAAGCTATATATATATTTAATGTGTCATTCTTTACTCTAAATTATTGACTTGATAACTAAACTACTTGCATAAATCTATATATAAATTCAGTCAAACTAACTCTGAATAAAGAGAATAGATCAGTTGAATAAATGTTAAATTAAACTAAATGAGAATTTTCTTCACAGTTAATATTCATTAAGAATACAGCTAATTATCTTCTTACTCTACAGAATTTTATCATTTCCATCACTACTTTTCTCTCATAGTAGCAAGAACTAAGTGTCAAATCTAGTGACATATTGTTTTGAGCTTTAGACTTATTATCTTAGATACTATAATCATGATCAAATCAAATATATAAATATAATAATTATTCAAAGTTGACTTAAAAACTTAAAAAATACAGCTACTGAGTATAAGATTCTATTAGAGAATATATATATCTTTAATAAATTAACTTTATAATAATATTCTATTCTCTTAAGATTATTACTAGCAGTGAGTGCTACAGTCAGACAAAGCTTTTATACTCTGAAAATTAAAAATAAATGACTATAATTATATAAATTAATATATCAAAATAAACTCTATTCTTATATATTCAATATGAATAAGATAGAGAAGTAAAAAGCAGAATAGATTTAGATATAATTTTATTATTCCATCTTCTATATCTATTAAATAGATATTATTATTATTATTATTATTATTATTATTATTATTATTTATTTAAAGTATATTCAGTCAGTAACTATAACATCTATTTAATTAAATTAATATTTAACTATTTTATTAATCTAACTAATAAATAGCAACTACTTTATGCAATTATAGAGTTTTATTCTAGATCTATTGAATAGATAGTTATTTAACTTTATAATACTATAGTAATTATAACACTTTTACATATATAAGAATAAGATATTCTCAATGTAATATAATTTAATTTAATTTAATTAAGCGTTATAGATTGTTAAATGCTATATTATTCTGAGATAAAACTCTATAAGTGTATAGATTAATTGATATTTATTAGTTAGATTAGTATAATAGTTAAATTCTAGTTTAACTAGATAGATATCATAGTTGACTGAATATACTTTAAATGAAGAATAATAATAATAGTAATAATAATAATAATAATTAAGTGCTATGATATTAAGATCATTTGATTTGAAATCTAGTAAATTAAAATATAGTAATTTTATAATCTGCTCACTTAATGATCTACTCAATTTAAAATTATATTAGCACTAGATTTATAACTTTAAATTTATTTTTTATAGTAGTATTTTTCATGATCTTCTTTCTAACTACTATATTACTAACTAAAAATTTCTTTTTATCAATATAATTGATATGTAATCTTATGCTTTGCTTTATCTTCTTGCTGTATGCTTTTTTTAATTATGAAAAATAACTTACAACTAATGATTATTGTAAATAGAAGAAGTAAAAGAGTATATATAATACTATAATATTGTGATTTAGATAGAACTCATCAAATTTAACTGTAATATAACTATGATATTTATTTAGAATTAATAATCTCTTTCTATCAATTGTACAAGTTATTATAGCTCAGTCTAAAGTCAAGATGATAACAAGATAAAAGTTTCAATTCAATTATTAAACTAAATAACTATGATGAGAATACTAAACTAAAAATTAGAATATGAAATAAATGAGCAACTGAATATGAAGAGGTTGAAAATTAGAGCAGATCAATTTTTATTCATATTACAAGGAATTATACTGTAACACAAGTTTTAGTATATCTGTTAAACATCTTTCATAGCTATTGTGATGATGGCGTAGAACGGGCTCCGTCCGGAACTACTCAACGGTGTAAGGCCACCAGGCTGAGAAGGGTAATTGCAACTGCCTAGCAACGGCATAGCAATCACCCCGCAATTACCCCGTAAACAATACCCGGCGAACGATTACCCCACAGAAACTGCCTACCCAGCAACCGCGCTAAGGAAAGGGGTATATAAACCGAGCCTTCCCCGGGCCCGTCTTTCAGGAACCATCTTAGTATTTTGTTGATGTAGCTTACCTAGTTGGCAATCAAACACCTGTTTACCTGCGCCTAGATCGGAGCCGTGATAAAAATCATCATCATTCAGTTTCCACTCAATATAAGTATTGCGAAATAGATTAAATTAAGTAAATCTAACAGTTACAGAAGCTGTAAAGAAATTAAAATCTGAAATTTCAAAGATATTATAAACAATTGAGTTTTTAAAGAGTTCAGCAGATGAAGAATTGATTCAATATAACTGATTTATCTGAGTTTATCTACATTCAATGTTGTGAATATATAATAGAAGACAATCTCATTAAATCAATCATTTTATTATTGATTGGATTAAGCAAAGAATCAAAATATATAGATTGAAAAAAGCTTCTAGAAGAACTTATCTATTCTAGAAAGAGATATTGTTGAAATTCACTTCTTTAGAGTGATATGTTATAAAATTTCATCTTCATATATCATCAAAAATTCAGAAACACATCAAGGACTCCACCGGATAGAAAGTTTAGAAAAATAAATAAGATATGAAGCAAGTCGTCGCTGATTTTGACCAGATAACTCCTGAATTGGCTGTGTTTGAGCGTAATCTGATAGAATGGCAAGCTAAGAACAACTATGGTGGAGAATAGGTCACGTGATGGAAATATCCGACAAAATACATGTCTATTTGGATCACGTGAAGCGGTCAAGACCCTCCATTACTTAATCCACTAATATAGTTATATCTCCCTCTTTTTTCATTCTGATACTAAACAGCAATTCTTCACCAGGCAAAACACACCCCAGGTGCTCAATTCTGGCTGGAATCACTTACCAGAGACCCAATTAATCACAATTCCAAAACACGCTCTTTAATCTTTAAGTCGTTCAGTAGTACACACATTTAAAATGGTTGCCCGTCCCCGCCGCAATCCAGACAATCCAGTGGTCTTCTTCGATATCACTCTTGGAGGTATGTACATATACTATTGCATACATTCATTCCGTTGGTCAATGGTGTCTCAATAATATATTCCTTCTACATCTCCCAAGTATTAAATAACAAGGACAACAAGAAAGCTCTTACGGTGTTTAGAACACCAAAATGTGTTCTGTGCAAATATGCATTCTCACTCGCTGTATCCAGAGTTACCCATCTGGAAATTGCTGAAACTGCTTTGAACTCGTATATACACTATGTTTATACCTCATTCCAGTCAACCTCTCACGCGTCATAATACCCATCACTCACGAGCTCTTTGTTTAGCTTTCTTTCACCTCGATGCTAGAGTTTCATATGTCTATCTATCAACAACCTCCAGACAATGCTAACCCTTTCCCATAGGACAAGAACTAGGGAGGATCAAGATGGAGCTCTTCGCAGATGTCACGCCCAGGACTGCCGAGAACTTCCGACAGTTCTGCACTGGTGAGGCCAAAAATGCCCGTGGTAAATCTCAGGGCTACAAAGGGTCCAAGTTCCACCGTGTGGTATGACAATTTTTCTTGTTTCCTTGATGACCTTTCCATTCTTAGTTGTCCGTGCATATCGTGTCTATTTTACGTCTTTGTTTGTCTTTCTATTTAACTTGTCATATCCCTTCCACCATTGATTGGCCAGGAGAGTGAGGTTTGATGTGCAACTCAATTACGTCATCAGCGTCTGGTAACACATAATTTAATGTGTATAGCCCATTGCGTGTTTGCTTCTTACCAAAATAACCCTTTATGTCTAACCAATAGTTTCTACAGATCAAAGAATTTATGATTCAAGGTGGTGACTTCATCAATGGTGATGGAACTGGTAGCGCGAGCATCTACGGCTCCGGCAAGTTCGCTGATGAAAACTTCAAGATCTCACATGACGGCCCAGGCCTTTTGAGTATGGCTGTAAGTGCCTTGTCCTTTCGCACCTTCCTCATGCAATGCGGCGTACAACAGTATCCTGCGTCTCCATCTCCAGCCGACTAATTTCATTTCTTTTTAATTTTCCGTCCATAGAACTCTGGCCCCAACACCAATGGCTGTCAGTTCTTCATCACAACCACTGCCACACCATTCCTCAACAACAAGCACGTGGTTTTCGGCCAGGTGATTGAGGACAAGGACAATGTCGTGCGTCGGATTGAGAACACCAACACCAAGAGAGACAAGCCGAACCAGGATGTTGTTATTGCGCAGTGTGGCCAGATCTGAGAGTTGATCAGTGTAATCTAAGCTTGAACGCGGAAGAAAGAAAGAAGGAGTGAACCGATGAAGTGAGAAGGGAGGGGGGGGGGGGGGGGGGTGGTAGAGAAAATGCAAAATTTGCTACTGAGACATGGACTTATGAAGAATTAATATGATTCATGTCTCAGTTCTATGATGTATTTGTACTTCGAGGGGACGCTAGGCTACATAAGCTACGTGCACAAGTAGTGAAGAGGTCGAAGAGAGAGAGTTTGCTTGACAAAATAAGAACCTTTCATGTTTCAATCAGATTCATCAGGTTGAGATGGCCTGGCGCCTCTCAAAAGACGATCCCGGGTGGATTGTGGTGCTTTACGAATGTGAAATGAAACAAACTCAACTAGCATCAGTTGATATCTTGTTTTTCCCCATCTCCTCTCTAAAGACCCCCATGAAAATTAAATGTAATGGCTAAGTAGGTATTTATATCGCAAAAAAGTATTACACAATATGAAGCTATTTCAGGAAAGTAAAACAAAGAAAGCAATGAAACTTCATTCTATCCCGTAGTTGTCGTGCCTCAAAGCTCAACCAGCAAGTCAAAGCTTAAACTTCTCCAGGTACTCTGTAGCAGCCTTTATAGCATCATCAAGCTTCTCAGCGTCCGTCCCATTTCCAATGGAGATGGGCCCCTTGCCTCCAGCGCGTCCGCCAACAACGTTGGCCACGGAATTGGCCCAATCGTTCGGAGATGCGCCTTGTTGGCTTAGGTTCTGTAACATTTGAGGTCATTCTGTTAGCATAAGCTGAGAATGTAAACAGACAAGGACCTCTAAATAACGTACCTCTGCAACATGACATCCATGTACAATCTTCCCAGCCTCCTTATCCGCCGCAAACACATAAAGCGACTTATCCTGCATCTTTGTCTTGACAAAATTCAACGAATCGCTAACTGCCTTGGCATTCGCCGAGATGGGCAGCTGCAGCACAAGATGGGGTGCATCCTTATTCTCAGGGGCCTGGAAATACCCCATAATCGCATCGAGTGCCTTCTTCGATTCTAGTTTCTGCGCCGCCTTCTGGCCCTCCAACACCTTCTTGTGGATCTGCGTGAACTTCTCGCGGAACTGTGCCTTCTCAACAGCTGATATCGTCAGCTGATTCAGATCCACCTGTAGTAACTTGGCCTCCATCTCCTTCTTAGGGCCCAGCTCCATCTTCTCGAAACGCTTCAGACGCTCGCCGAATTCCTTAGCGATCCGCTGTACCTCGTGTGCTTCTTCGCCCGTCACAGCAATAATGCGTCTGATGCCCTTGGCAATCCCGCTCTCTTCGAGAATGACGAGATCTTTGATATCTCCCGTCTTCTGCACATGTGTGCCGCCGCAGAATTCGATGCTGATTTCCTTCCAGCGCGGGTCGTGGACATCTTTGAGGATCTCTTCGAGCTCGACACCGACGGAGACGACACGGACGGGATCTGGATATGTTTCACCGAAGACGGCGCGCACACCTGTGATTTCACGTGCGATAGAGAGGGGGACATCCTTACCGTAGACGGCGCAGTTTTGGCGGATGTAGTCAGTGGATATCCTTTCAATTTCCTCGAGGTCGGAGTCTGAGACGGCGGATTTGTGGGAGAAGTCGAAACGAAGCTTTTCAGCGGCAACGAGGGAACCCTTTTGTTCCACACCGTCGCCTAGAACTTTGCGGAGGGCAAAATTGAGGATATGAGTTCCCGTGTGGTTGTTTCTGATAGGCCATCTTCGGAGCTCGTCATATTCTGCGATCACAGAGTCGTTTATGTTAAAGGAACCATACTTCATAAAGCCAGTGTGAAGTACGTATCCTCCATATACTTGAACGTCCTCAACAGCAAGTTCTGCCTTGCCGTCGATGATTATCTTTCCAGTATCATATTCCTGGCCACCCTGTTCTGCGTAGAAGTTGGTGCGGTCAAGGATAATACCGAATTGTTCGCCCTCTGGAATATCCTTTGAGGAATCAACAAACTTCTTGTTATGGTAGATGGCTTTGATCTGGGAGGTGATGTTGCCTCTGCCAAACTTCGCACTGTCGTCCGTCTTGGGAACGTCATCCATGGTCTCAAGGAGGCCGAGGTCATGGACAGTAAGTTTGACAACATCCTTTGTTTGCTTTCCCTGACCCTTGCTTGCCTCCTTAGCCCTTAGCCGGGCTTCTTCGAATTCACCGTTATCAATTTTCAAGCCTCGCTCTTCAGCCATGAGCTGGGTCAGATCCACAGGGAAACCAAACGTATCGTAGAGTCTCCACACATCTGCTCCATGTAATCTGTCCAGGCCCTTTTGTTTAGCCTGGAGGGCATATTCTTCAAAGAGGCGCTCTCCACGGTCGAGTGTCTTCGCGAAAGAAATTTCCTCCTCATCCAGAATTTCCATCACGTCCGTTGCCTTTCGTTTGATTTCAGGGAACATATCACCCATCTGCTCAACTAGTGTAGGTACGATTTGCGAGAAGAACCCGCCGATTTCAACGTTCAGATACTTGCGCGCATACCGAGCACCTCTACGGAGAACTCGTCGTACCACATAGCCTCGACCCTCGTTGTTTGGCACAGCCCCATCGGATATCGCAAAGGTTAATGTCCTAATATGGTCAGCAACAACGCGGTAAGCAGTATCGACTCCGTCAACGTCCTCTTCATGGAATTTTCCAGTATATGGACGGGAGCCTGTGATCTCGCGGATCTTCTCGAACAGGGGGGTGAAGACATCCGTGTCGTAGTTTGACGATTTGTTCTGGAGAATCGAAACAAGTCGTTCGTAGCCCATTCCAGTATCGACGTGCTTGTTGGGTAAAGGTCGTAGCGACTTGTCCTGTTCGCGATTGTATTGAATGAAAACGTTATTCCAGATTTCCAGCACATTGGGGTCGTCTTGGTTCACGAGGTGGGAGGCATTGCGGCCTCCAATCCTATCGTAATGGATCTCACTGCAGGGTCCGCATGGGCCTTGTTCTCCCATCTCCCAGAAATTATCTTTCATGTTGCCTGAAAGGAGGTGATCCTCTGCAACGCCGACGGACAACCATAGATCCCTGGCTTCCAAATCTGGTTCAATGCCTGCATCTGGATTTCCCTCGAAGTATGTCACGTATAGCCGATCAGGGTCGAGGCCGTAGACTTTGGTGAGAAGGTCCCATGAGTAACGAATAGCTTCTTTCTTGAAGTAGTCCCCGAAACTCCAGTTTCCCAGCATTTCAAAGAAAGTCTATCGATGGAGTAAAGAACACATCAGTATCGTCGCACGAAATAGACTCTTGTCTGTTATTAGAGCCCAAACTCACATGGTGATAGCTATCTTTCCCAACATCGTCGAGGTCCTAGAGGAATCATGTCAGTGCTAATCACTTGTGATGTCGCATGTTACAGCGCAGGAACATACATTATGTTTTCCACCGGCACGTATACACTATTCTATATGTTAGCCATCTGTATCTTTATCAAGCCAGAGGTATACAAAGGAGCGCCATCCACCTTCTGCGTGTTATGCGCACGTTTCAGCTGCGCAAAGTCTGAATTCGGTTCAACGGTGCCTAGGAAGATGGCCTTGTACTGGTTCATTCCCGCATTTGCGAATAGTAAAGTAGGGTCTGAGAGGGGTACGACAGAAGACGAGGGCACTAGATGCGACCAAGTAGTTAGTAAAGACTTGTTTACTTGTACGTAGTCAATGAAAAAATAGTTAGATATGAGGTATGACTGCACCTACCGAAGGTATGGCCGTTATCTTTGAAAAAATCCAAGAACGCATTTCGCACTCGCAAAGCAGGCCATTCTGGCTGCTCTACCATTTGCGTCGAAGTCATATTGAAAGCCGCCTGTGATCGTGGGAGAGTGCTGTTGTGGCGGCGGAAGAAGAGGGGGGTAGTTGAAAAGGTGTTGGTGATGGCGGGGGAGAAAAAGTGCCAGGCGAAGAAACGTCTCGAAGGCGGCAAAGGCACAGGAACAGAACCACCAACATTAACACCCACCACCTCCACCAAATTGCGGCAGACAGAGCGAGAACAGTAGCGAGTCAAACTCAATCCCTGGTGCAGCACCACACCACTGACTCTCTCACCTCCTACTCCCATCCAAACGGATCAAAACGCAAGGAACAAGGTAGTTAACGAGTGGCGAAAACGGGACAGCTATGCCCGTTCTTCACAGGGTTGTCTAGTTCTCAGACACGCGACTCCTCCCTCACGAGTTACGGGATCTGCGAAAGATTCTGCTGTTTAGAATAAGGGCGTTGCATGGCGCCGGTGAGTGGGGTGTCTTTGGCCTCGGAGGTCCGCGGCAAAAAAAGACACGCTGCCGAAGAGCTTGAGGGCGAGCAACGCCTTACGAAAAAGTTTGGATTGCTGCATATTGGTCGTATTGGTATGTTTACTCGCCAACTATCGATGTTTGTACAAGCTCTGATTATTTATTTTATCGGCTTGACTTTAGAATAAATCAATTCACTAACAAAGTCGTTGTTTTTTATCCGCCTTCTCCTGCAGGCCAGTCTTATCCGCCATCGATATTGGATAATGCTTGCACTATCAAGAAGACGCCAACCCCAGGCTTTGGGGCCGAACAGCCCAAGCCCCCTGCCGCTGTTGCTGCTGCTGCTACGAATGAATCAATGCAGATAGACGAGACAAAAGATAGAATCTACATCCACGACCTAGAGAGCGAATTTGCAAAAATCGAAGCTGAGGAAAATAATGTCGCAATCCTTCCAGAGATCGAGAAGAAATTGATGTCTGTGCCCAAGTCGGTATTAAGCACCAAGCCATCCGCCAGAAATGAACTGGTCTTGTACCGGCTGCCGTCCTCGCTGAGTGTCCCAGAGCCCCAGGATAGTGTGCGCAAAGCGATCATTGAGGCTAGGGAGCGTGCGCGAGAGAAGGCGATCGCTGATCAGATGGAGAAAGAGAAAGTGGAGGGGGAGGGGGAGGAGAAAATCATTACGCAACATTTTCTGAGTCATGAGATGAACGGTTCGTTGATGGATTTGCTGCCACCATCATCGTCTGCATTGCTTCCTTCGCCTGAGTCGCTTGATCTGAATTCACAGGATGACCCTGATGCGATGGATATCGATAGTGCTTGACGGCTGCTTTTAACACTTGTCCTCTTCGGGTTTTCGAAAATTATGGAGTGGATGATTTTCCGAGCGTTCTTTACTCAAGCTGATATGACTGCTATCCATTTCTTATTATTTTTACAAGTCAGCACGAACAGCTACAGGAGGTCGGCTCGGAATTAACGACTGGACTGAAGCTGCGGTGTGAATACTGTAGATGGCTAGGGATATTGGGCAGCTCGAGGCTAGCGCAGGAAAAAAAAGTTCATGAAGCCTTGCTGATTCTTGGCTGCTCTGCTTGGTCCCAAAGAAGGAGTTTTCGAAAGTTCGAAGGGGTGGGTGATGGCGTAGAGTGTTGGTGAAATAGACTGGTCTAAACCCTACGTCTGGCTTCCTTTAGGGGAAATTTGGTCTTGGAGTGCTATTCTTCTTGTTCTTTTGGGTCTGGGGTGTTATTGTTATTTATACTCACATATATATATGGGGACCTATTGTGACGGTGACCAGGTGGCAGTCAACTATCATTGTTATAGTAATCCGGGCTCTATATAGAATCAAATGAAGTCGACTGTTAGTATGATTAATAGCACTTTCAAATACAGAAAACAAACTCGGAGCAATATGGATATGAAGACCAATTAATTCAATTAACCCCCTAGATACACAGGCTGGGAAATGCGGACGCCTATACTCTTTAAGGAGAGGGGTATATCAAACGAAGTGCAAATAAGGGAGCCTATTTATATCCGCATAGAGTATCCCCAATGGTCAGTATTTACTTTGCTTTATCTCCATACTCATTCCTGTTCCAGCCAAAATAGAGTTCCGCAGAGCACAATCTCGCATGTGTGAATCCCACGCATCGATGTGAAGACCAGGTCCATCCCTAGTTAATATAATAAATATCATGGCTCAGCCTAGCCCAGCCCTATTTCTTACGGTCAGCCAAGCATCATCGGCATATGGCCATTTGAAAAAGATATACTCTCAGGATTATTTTCTCGTCTCAATTGCACTTCAAGCCCATCAGCATCTTGTCAACTCAAAGAGAGACTAAACACAGCCTTAGTTATCGATCAACAAGATGGCGAATTCTGTAATTCATAGGGTAATCATTACCTCGGAGATAGCCAGGTCAAAACACCAGTGATATCTTATAGTAGGAATGAAGAATATTAGAATAACATTGTTCTTCCACATTGTATGTACATGTACATGCACGGCAAACAGCGCCCGTCCCTCGGTTTCAGTGCCTCGAGCAAGCCATAACGTCGCAGCTCAGGGCTAAACCATTGATCATCACCAACGTTGCATTTGGCCATACGTTATCCGAATAACCAGGAAGACGTATCAAAGTTAAAGTTTGAAACAAGGTTATTTCCGCAGCCGGCGCTAAACCTTTTACACATCGGGGAGGGGCAATAATATTCCGGCCACATCTTCCGTCTGGTTATACAGAGGAAAACGATCAGGGACACACGACCCACCCGTATCAGCAGATATTTGTACAATAATTTGATTCTTAACAGTGAGCCCATTTCCATACTTTACTAAACCTCGAGAACCCCTAACCTATCAAATAGAAACAAATCATGGCCTCAGCAGGTTCCCAGAGGCCTTTGTCACCAGGGGAAAAGCGCAAGCGGGATGAGGATAGCGACATAAATGATAGGCCCCAACACGTTGTCAAGGCCCTTTCAAATGACACAGATGACCGGAACAAAAAGCAAAGGGTTATCGGACCAACCATGCCACCAAGTATCGTAGAAGACAAGAGTACTAGCTGCAGCGACAACGAGAGCGACGACAATTACGGACCCCCCCTTCCTCCAACTCATACGGATACAACTCAACAGACATGCAAGGAGGAAATCCAGTTGAATTCAACGTCTGAAGAATCACAACCCACCCGACGAGATGACTGGATGCTTCATCCGCCGGAGCATGGCGACTGGTCTTCACGTGTTGATCCAACGAAGATACGCAATCGGAAATTCAACATGGGTAGAAGTGCAACCGCTAAACCTTCGCTCAGTGGAGTTGCCGGCACTTGGACTGAGACGGCAGACGAGAAGAGGAAGCGGCTAGAGGCTGAGGTCATGGGAATCAAAGCCCCAGCATCTTCCAATGTTACAGGGCGCTCAGGGGAAGCATCTGAATACGACGCTGCGATGTCGAAGCGCGTACAGGAATATAATGTACGTTTATCAGCTCGTGCGACATGAAGTGCACCGACATAGCTAACAACTTCTTATAGGAAAAGAAGAGGGGGGAAACACTCTATGCGCAGCATCAATCTCGGCCTTCAAAGGAGGAGGAGGATGATCCTAGCGCTCGCCCATTCGATAAAGATAAAGATATCCGGGGTCCAACAAGGATCAACCATGCTCAAAGGCGAGAGTTGCTTAACCGCTCCTCCGACTTTAATACCCGATTTTCTGGGGGTAAATTCCTGTGACTGTCTTGATTGGTAACTCTGATTCTCATTCTTTACCCCTGATGGCGCCCATGGGCTGGGCCGTATGTAATGTATGAGCGGCCAATTAGTTGAGGCTCAAAATCTGTGGCACAAGCGAGAAGCGAAGTAGCCGCCGTGTTGGATTTGGACCGGAAAAGCCAATTTTTGTTGGACCAAGACACGAAGTTATTTGTTCGGTTACGTTGTACCACATGGTGAGACAGCACGCCCATGTGG